TTCGCTTTATAAGTGGTTGAATTCAGCTGGTTTGTCTCCAGATTTAATATGTTTGACCATTTTGATCAATTGCTTGTGTAATATTGAAAGGGTTTCTAATGGTTTTTCCGTTTTTGGGGAGATTTTGAAGAATGGTTTCACTCCATATGTTGTGACTTTTAATTTTTTGATCAAAGGTCTGTGTGTAGAGGGAAAGATTATTGAGTCGATTGAATTGTTTAAAAAAATTGTTGCTGTTGGTTGTAGGCCTACTGTGATTACTTATGGAACTTTGATTGATGGATTGTGTAAAATATGGAAGATAAATGTTGCCATTAAGTTACATGAAGAAATTGCTGAGGGGAATGAAAAATCTAGTGTTATTTGAAGGCCAAATATTGTTACTTATAGTTCTATAATTGATGGTCTTTGTAAGGCTGGATTGGTTGAGAAGGCTAGACAATTATTTTTGGAACTTATGATTCAGAGAGGTGTGGTTCCTAACATTTATACTTATAGCCTTTTAATGAATGGTTATTGCTTGGTAGACAGAATTGGTGATGCAAGGGAGTTGTTTGATTCTATAACTAGAAAAGGGTATAGACCTAATGTTGTTTGCTACAATACTTTAATCAATTGATATTGCAAGAATAAAGAAGTCAATAAAACTCTTTATCTTTATCGAAAGATGATTTCTGAAGGAATTAGGCCTAACGTGATTATGTATAACACCTTGTTAACTGACCCTTTTCTTAAAGCTAATGTAAAAGATGCACGAAATTTAGTTGGTGAGATGCGACTTAATGGTGTTTTACTTGATTCTTGGACATATAGCGTTTTCATTGATGGACTTTGCAAGAATGGATGTGTTTTGGAAGCGGTAGAAATGTTTAATACTCTAGGTAAATAATAAGTTTGCAGTTAATATTGAAGGTTTGAGTTCCCTCATTGATGGATTATATAAAACAGGGAGATTCGAAGCTGCTTGGGACTTATTTCAGAAATTTTATCTTCATGAAAACCTAGTGCCAAAGGTTGTAACATATAACATTTTGATCCATGGACTGTGTAAAAATGGACAACTAGAAAAGGCAAATGAGTTGTTGTCATATATGGAGGACAAAGGTTGTGCTCCAAATGTAATCACATTTAATACACTTATCTTTGATTTCCTTAAGAATAATGAGGTAACAAAAGTTGTTGAACTCCTTCATAAGATGGCGAAGAGAAATGTGAAGCCGACTGAATGTACAATGTCCTTAGTCATGTAGTTACTCATGAAGGCTGAAAATTATCGTGAATGTTTGAACCAGCTTCCTCAATTTCTGGATGAAAAGCAAAATTGAAGTTTACATGATAAAACTTTAGGGTGTATTAAACTTTTTTCGGAGCAGAATCATGCAAAAGTTCATCCAACTGCCTAAATGCTCTATTTTGGTTACAATAAGAAGAAGGCTCAATAAACACTTTCATATGTTCGAATTTGATAAGGATGATGATAGGGATGATTGAGAATGATGGCTTCCCTGATTTGACATACGATACGTGATTTGTCTATGTTTTAAGTGCACATAGTGTAGTGGCAGCATTGCAGGCCACGTTAGCATTTGCACATGAAATAGGTCTTAAGGGTTTGAGGATTATTTCTGGTGCAAATTTCAGTAAGCAAAAGTTGTATATGAGAAATCCTGGAACAACAATGCTACACTTACCGACTCCAATCTAGGCTGACATATCCCGATTGACATGGTTGTCAACGTGGCAGATGCCACCTCATCTGTCAGCTTGTTGCCACATCACAGCACCCAGAAAACAAAAAAAAAAAAAATTTATTTCAATAATTGTGATTAGAAAAATTGGAAGAATCCCAAATTCAAATCAACCTTACAAAATTCCTTTCCCCCAAATTTGCAAACCCTTGAATTTGCCCCAAATCAATTCCAATTTTAGAAATCCTAGTCACCACAGAAAACGGTTTCAATCGCACTCCAAAAATAGAGTTTGTAAAGAAGAAAACAGAAAACTTGGTATGGCTGTTGTATGAGTGTGTCGAGAGAAAAGTAACAAAGCTGAGGAAACTTCCTTGCAATTGAAATGGTACAAGCCATGCTTGAGCTCACCCTTCAATCGTTATCCATGAATGCAAGTCCATAAACATGAGTGGAAAAGAGAGCAAACAACATTAAGAGTAAAAGGTTAGTTTGTTTGCTGAATAGGTTGAAAGAAAATGATGGCACGTAGAGGACATCATGGAAAATGATGAAATTAGTTAGTGAATTGTTCCAATGTGTGGACAGGGCAGAATGACCATTAGGTAGTTTCACAAAATAAGAAACAGTAGATGTAATAGTGGTGAAAATGTGGTGCTACAGACCATTGGTCTGTAACGCTTGTGTCAGGATCCAAGCAATAGATGATGTATGTGGTGAATAGTTGGGTGAGTAGATAAAGAGGTGGAGTACCAGACATTTGGGAAGATATACTAGGTGAAGGAGTTTGAGTGGTTGCTGAGTGGACGTGGAAGCCGCAATAGGTAAATCCTAAGGTCTGAGCAAGGCCATCAGTTGTTGATATTGTTGCTTGTGAACCAAACTTGGCATCATTGTTGTCTTCAGAGTCATTGGTAAATGAAAGGATGTTTGATTTGCAAGGAAACCAGATTGCTACGGCTGCTGGTTGGAATGATATTTGTGACCAGGTGGATATCCATTGATTTTGTAGCATTTCTCAATGTATGGCCAGTCATGTTGCAATGTGAGAAAAGACGGCTTAGCATTGCCAGCTTTGAAACAGGTATCGAAAGTGTGACCATTTATTTTACTGGCTGCAATAGGACGGTCCTTTTTGGGGGGGGGTTTGGTTTAGGTGAGGGTTCGGAAGGGGTGTAGGTTGCTAGATTAGATGACCATAGTTTCGGGGATGGGTGAGGAGGTCATTGATGGTGTCTTTCTTGCTGTTGGACGAGGGAAACACTTTGGAGACAGGTGGGATAGGATCTAAAATCATAGTCGTCTCGGATGAGGAGTAAAAGTCATTGAGACCTCAAAAAATTGCAGCACACAATCTTTGATATCAATCCAGTAGGTTCATCCCATATAGCATTTAACTTCCATAGTAAATGCTTATCGGATTGTGTTCTTGAAGCAGTAGCCAACGCCTTCTTGAGTTGGTAATATGAGACCATTTTGATGCGAAAATTGTTCCTGAAGATCTGACAAGATTTCTCAGCATTATCAACAAAGAACGCTGTGTTGAAGAATAGCTGAGAGTTTTGGAGCCAAGAAACACCATGTCGTTACAGCTCTCCCAAAGCTCAGCAATGGATCGTTGGGTTTAGATGGTTTGGTGATGGATCAGTGATAAACCCAGTTTATTTTTCACGCGGAGTGTACGACACATTGATGAGACCAGGTGGCATAGTTGTCGGTGGTGAGGAATTGGCAACAAGGGTAAGGGTTGGACTGTCACCATGGTCAAGCCGATAGGGGTTTGCGGATCAAGGAGATTAAGGTATGGAGATGGGGTTTTTGATTCTAGGCTAGAGTGAGAATCGGAAGAATCGAAATCAGAGGTTTTCCACACTAGACATAATTATTACTTAATTAATGCCATTAAATGCAATGAAGCCTACTCATCCTTGACTTTTTCAATGCTTATCCATAGGCAAAATGACCACTTCGCCCCTAATGCCTTTCTATGGATAATTGATTTATACCATTCCAAAAGAATCGACTATTTTACCTTAGTTAGATTTTATGCTTTTTAACATAAAATTAACATCTAAAGGACTATTTTGAGTTAGGAACATACCTTTGACATCTTGGATATTACATGGGGGGAAGAAGGTTGATCCATAAATTGGCTTAATAATTGGATAGCAAAGCAAATATCTGGGCTGGTTATTGTGAGGTACAATAACCTACCAATTAACCTTCGAAAGATACTTGGATCAGAAAGTGAAGTCCCTTCAGATTTGCTAATTTTGAAGTGTTGATCGATAGGAAGTCTAAGGGGTTTGCATCCAAGCATACCCGAATCTGCCAAAATGTCTAAGGCATATTTCCTTTGACATATATTAATACCTTTGGAAGATCTAGCAATTTCCAAGCCCAAGAAATAACGGAGACAATCAAGATCTTTAATCTTGAATTTGCTATTCAAAAAATTCCATTGAGAAGCAATGGAGTCATTGGAACTGCTAGCAACCAGAAAATCATCAACATAAATGAGCAAAGCAGTAAAATTGTCCCCTTCATGCTTAGTGAATAAGTTATAATCAGACTTTGATTGGATGAAACCAAAAGTAATAAGAGAAGAGGTGAGTTTAAAGGTCCATTGTCTTGAAGCTTGCTTTAGGCCATAAAGGCTTTTAAGTAATTTGCAAACTTGAGTTGGTTTACCTTTGGTGTAACCTGGGGGTTTCTTCATGTAAATCACCATTAAGAAATGCATTATTTACATCAAATTGATGTAAATACCATTCTTTGATGGCAGCAACACTAAGAAGGCATCTAACAGTGACAAGTTTAGCAACGAGTGAGAAAGTTTCAGTATAATCTATGCCTTCTTGTTGGGTGCAGCCTTTAGCTACACTTCTAGCCTTAAGTCTTTCAATAGAACCATCAGACTTAAATTTAATGCGATAGACATACTTACAATCGATTGCTTCTTTTCCTTTAGGCAAATCAGTGATGGTCCAAGTATGGTTGTTTTCCAAAGCTTCAATTTCAGCATCCATAGCTTTGCACCACTCAGGATCTTTAATTGCTTGTTTATATGAGGTGGGCTCGGTTTGAATGGAAATGGATGATGAAAATGCTTGAAAGGAGGAATTAAAATGCTTGTAAGATAAGTAGTCAGAGAGAGAAAAATATTTACCATTTAATTGAGGAGCGGCAGTGGAAGCTGATTGGTGAGGTGAGGCAAGCTTGACTTGTTTACAATAGAAGTCCTTCAGATATTAAGGAGCAGTCTTGTTTCGAGTAGACCTGTGAAGTGTAGGGGCGGCAGGAAGAGGAATGATGGAATTAGATGGTGGAGAAATGGGAGAAGGGGAGGATGTATTAGGGCAATTAGCAAAAATAGTAGGAGGGTCAAGGGATAAAGGAAAAGGAGATATGGGATTTAGAAAAGTAGAAGGAGGTGCAAACGGAAGAGAGAAAATAGAGAGAGATGGGGCTGTGGAAGAAGGAGAGAGAGAGGTGTTTGAAAAGGAAAAAAAAAATTCATGAAAAATAACATCCCTTGAAATGAAAATGGTACTAGTTTTGAGATCCAAAAGCTTGTAGCCTTTAGTTCCAAAAGGGTAGCCAAGAAATGCACATGCATGACCTCTAGGGTCAAATTTTGTTCTATTATGAGCAAGTGTGGCGGCAAAACAAAGGGAACCAAATATTCTCATATGAGCATACTTGGGTTTTTTTATTAAAAAGGAGTTCATAAGGTGTTTTGTTGTTGAGAAGTGGTGATGGAAGCCTATTGATGATATATATGGCCGTAAGGATGGATTCATTCTAGTAAGTTAAGGGAAGACCCGCTTGAAAAAGAAGGGCACGAGCCACATTTAGTAAGTGTTGGTGCTTCCTGTCAATAATGCCATTTTGTTGAGGGGTTGCAACGCAACTTTTGTGATGGATAATGCCTTTTTGATTAAAAAATTCATGCATGTTAAATTCATCACCATTATCACTTCTTAGAATTTTAATTTTCATTTGGAATTGTGTCTTAACAAGATTGTAAAAGGTTGTAATGCATTGTCTGGTTTCAGATTTGGCAGCAAGCAAGTAAATCCAAGTAGTTCTAGAAAAGTCATCAATAATGGTCAAGAAGTACTTTGAGCCATCATGTGCAATTGTGGAGCAAGGACCCCATAGGTCACAATGAATGAGCTCAAAGATTCTTGATGAAGAATGTGAACTGTTAGGAAAAGATAAACGATGAAACTTTGCTAATGGGCAAATTTTGCAAGACTTTTCATTAATAGATGAAACTCCCTTGTGTACAAGAGGATTTGAAATTAACTGTAACCTAGGAAATGATAAATGGCCTAGGCGACAATGCCATAGGTCAGTATTTGAGATAGAGTTTGTAAAGGAAGAAAAACAAGAAAACTTGGTATGGCTGTTGTATGAGTGTGTCGAGAGAAAAGTAGACAAAGCTGAGGGAAGAACTTCCTTGCAATTGAAATGGTACAAGCCATGCTTGAGCTCACCCTTCCCAATCGTTATCCATGAATGCAAGTCCTGAATAAAACAGTGAGTGGAAAAGAAGAGCAAACAACAATTAAGAGTAAAGGTTAGTTTGTTTGCTGAAATAGGTTGAAAGAAAATGATGGCATGTAGAGGACATCATGGAAAATGATGAAATTAGTTAAGTGAATTGTTCCAATGTGTGTGACAGGGGCAGAATGACCATTAGGTAGTTTCACAAAATAAGAAACAGTAGATGTAATAGTGGTGAAAAATGTGGTGCTACAGACCATATGGTCTGTAACGCTTGTGTCAAGGATCCAAGCAATAGATGATGTATGTGGTGAATAGTTTGTGTGAGTAGATAAAGAGGTGGAAGTACCAGACATTTGGGAAGATGATACTAGGTGAAGAGAGGTTTGAGGTGGGTTGCTGGAGTGGACAGTGGAAGCCGCAATAGGTAAATCCTAAGGTCTGAGCAAGGCCATCAGTTGTTGATATTGTTGCTTGGTGAAACCAAACTTGGCATCATTGTTGTCTTCAGAGTCATTGGTAAATGAAAAGGATGTTTGATTTGCAAGGAAACCAGATTGCTACGGCTGCTGGTTGGAATGATATTTGTGACCAGGTGGATATCCATTGAGTTTGTAGCATTTCTCAATAGTATGGCCAGTCATGTTGCAATGTGAGGAAAGACGGGGCTTAGCATTGCCAGCTTTGAAACAGGTATCGAAAGTGTGACCAGTTATTTTACAGTGGCTGCAATAAGGACGGTCCTTTTTGGGAGGGTGGTTTGGTTTAGGTGAGGGTTCGGAAGGGGTGTAGGGTTGCTAGATTAAGATGACCATAGTTTCGGGGGATGGAGTGGAGGAGGTCATTTGATGGTGTCTTTCTTGCTGTTGGACGAGGGAAAACACTTTGGAGACAGGTGGGATAGGATCTAAAATCATAGTCTGGTCTCGGATGGAGGAGTAAAAGTCATTGAGAACCATCAAAAATTGCAGCACACAATCTCTTTGATATCAATCCAGTAAGGGTTCATCCCATATAGCATTTAACTTACCATAGTAAATGCTTATCGGATTGTGTTCTTGAAGCAGAGTAGCCAACGCCTTCTTGAGTTGGTAAATATGAGACCATTTTGATGCGAAAATTGTTCCTGAAGATCTGACAAGATTTCTCAAGCATTATCAACAAAGAGAACGCTGGATTGGAAAGAATAGCTGATAGAGTTTTGGAGCCAAGAAACAACCATGTCGTTACAGCTCTCCCAAAGCTCAAGCAATGGATCGTTGGGTTTAGATGGTTTGGTGATGGATCTAGTGATAAAACCCAGTTTATTTTTCACGCGGAGTGTACGACACATTGAGCGAGACCAGGTGGCATAGTTGTCGGTGGTGAGGAGATTGGCAACAAGGGTAAGGGTTGGACTGTCACCATGGTCAAGCCGATAGGGGTTTGCCGGATCAAGGAGATTAAGGTATGGAGATGGGGTTTTTGATTCTAGGCTAGAGTGAGAATCGGAAGAATCGAAATCAGAGGTTTCCATTGAAGATGCTCTCGAAGGCTCTGATACCATGTTAGGAGAGCAACCAAAAACTCAGAGAGCTTAACAATGGAGGAAAGTTGAATATTCCATTTCAGTGTATATTTCCTACTATACAGGGGAGAAGAATGAGAATATATACAGAGACTCTATAACAAACTTGTAACAAATTAAAAAACCCAACCTATCATACTGTGTCAGTTGGTAGACATGTGCTAAAAATGAATGAAAGAATAACAAAAAGTATATACAACAACGAAAAAGTAAAAACTGATTACAAAACTTGGCCTGTATCTGTTAACAGCTCCAAAAATGAAGTTTTGTATTCTTTCAAAAAACCCCTCGAAGGATCCTCACTTGCTAAATTCCTCAATGAAAATTGTCGATTAGGTAACATTACTCTGAATGAAGCATTGAACTTTTTTTATTACATGATTAATTCGCAACCCATTTCTCCAATTTCATCATTCACTACTTTGTTTAGTCCACTTGCAAAGAAGAAGCATTATTATGAAGTGATTTCGCTTTATAAGTGGTTGAATTCAGCTGGTTTGTCTCCAGATTTAATATGTTTGACCATTTTGATCAATTGCTTGTGTAATATTGAAAGGGTTTCTAATGGTTTTTCCGTTTTTGGGGAGATTTTGAAGAATGGTTTCACTCCATATGTTGTGACTTTTAATTTTTTGATCAAAGGTCTGTGTGTAGAGGGAAAGATTATAGAGTCGATTGAATTGTTTAAAAAAATTGTTGCTGTTGGTTGTAGGCCTACTGTGATTACTTATGGAACTTTGATTGATGGATTGTGTAAAATATGGAAGATAAATGTTGCCATTAAGTTACATGAAGAAATTGCTAAGGGGAATGAAAAATCTAGTGTTATTTGTAGGCCAAATATTGTTACTTATAGTTCTATAATTGATGGTCTTTGTAAGGCTGGATTGGTTGAGAAGGCTAGACAATTATTTTTGGAACTTATGATTCAGAGAGGTGTGGTTCCTAACATTTATACTTATAGCCTTTTAATGAATGGTTATTGCTTGGTAGATAGAATTGGTGATGCAAGGGAGTTGTTTGATTCTATAACTAGAAAAACGTATAGACCTAATGTTGTTTGCTACAATACTTTAATCAATTGATATTGCAAGAATAAAGAAGTCAATAAAGCTCTTTATCTTTATCGAAAGATGATTTCTGAAGGAATTAGGCCTAATGTGATTATGTATAACACTTTGTTAACTGGCCTTTTTCTTAAAGGTAATGTAAAAGATGCACGAAATTTAGTTGGTGAGATGCGACTTAATGGTGTTTTACTTTATTCTTGGACATATAGCGTTTTCATTGATGGACTTTGCAAGAATGGATGTGTTTTGGAAGCGGTAGAAATGTTTAATACTCTAATAAATAATAAGTTTGCAGTTAATATTGAAGGTTTGAGTTCCCTCATTGATGGATTATGTAAAACAGGGAGATTCGAAACTGATTGGGACTTATTTTAGAAATTTTATCTTCATGAAAACCTAGTGCCAAATGTTGTAACATATAACATTTTGATCCATGGGCGGTGTAAAAATGGACAACTAGAAAAGGCAAATGAGTTGTTGTCATATATGGAGGACAAAGGTTGTGCTCCAAATGTAGTCACATTTAATACACTTATCTTTGATTTCCTTAAGAATAATGAGATAACAAAAGTTGTTGAACTCCTTCATAAGATGGCGAAGAGAAATGTGAAGTCGACTGAATGTACAATGTCCTTAGTCATGTAGTTACTCATAAAGGCTTCCTCAATTATCGTGAATGTTTGAACCAACTTCCTCAATTTCTGGATGAAAAGCAAAATTGAAGTTTACACGATAAAACTTTAGTGTGTATTAAACTTTTTTCGGAGCAGAATCATGCAAAAGTTCATCCAACTGCCTAAATGCTCTATTTTGGTTACGGTAAGAAGAAGGCTCAGTAAACACTTTCGTATGTTTGAATTTGATAAGGATGATGATGGGGATGATTGAGAATGATGGCTTCCCTGATTAGACATACGATATGTGATTTGTCTATGTTTTAAGTGCATATAGTGTAGTGGCAGCATTGCAAGCCATGTTAGCATTTGCACATGAAGTAGGTTTTAAGGGTTTGAGGATTATTTCTGATGCAAATTTCAGTAAGCAAAAGTTGTATATGAGAAATTCTGGAACAACAATGCTACACTTACCGACTCCAATCTAGGTTGACATATCCCGATTGACATGGCTGTCAACGTGGCATATGCCACCTCATCTGCCATGTCAGCTTGTTGCCACATCACAGCACCCAGAAAACAAAAAAAAAAAAAAAAAAAAAAAAATTATTTCAATAATTGTGATTAGAAAAATTGGAAGAATCCCAAATTCAAATCAGCCTCACAAAATTCATTTCCCCCAAATTTGCAAACCCTAGAATTTGCCCCAAATCAATTCCAATTTCAGAAATCCTAGTCACCACAGAAAACGGTTTCAATCGCACTCCAAGCACGTTTCACCACCGCACTCCAATTTCGGCGATGTAGCTAAGCCGACCTTTCTCGCTATCGCCTCTCTGTTGTCATTTGAGTCCGCAAGTGGCGCGGTTGAGTTCCTTGTGAAGAGTATAGCGGGTTCGACTGCCACATTTACTTCCAAGTGGGTAAGTCTTTGTTGTCACATTTACTTCCATTCCATTTTTGTATTTTACTCATTTAATTTTAATTTTAGTTTTTGACCTTTATATCATTCAATTGAGCAGAATATGCTTTCAAGACTATAAAGTCTGCTTCCATCACTTCCATTGGTGTCTGTTGTAAAGACTCCATCTGTGTTGTCACACAGATGAAAGTCCCATTCAGTAGTTTGTATTTTTTTTCACTCTATTTATATTGGGAATTTGGATGTTTTTTTTATATTTGGGTTATTGTTGATTTTTTTTCTTTTTAAATAAATAGCAGGACAAGCTTTTGGATCAGAAATCTGTCATCCATCTATTCCCCGTTACCAAGTACCTTGGATTAGTAGCCACTGGCCTTACAGGTTTGATCTTTCATCCAAAAAGTTAAGAAATTTTGCTGCAGAATTGTGATTAAGTTATTGATTTGAAGCAGTTGGATTCTATTTGGTTATTTATATGTATGTCTCTTGAATGGTATGCAATGATGAAAAATGCTGATGATTTATGTTAACGCTGAAACTGCAGTATATGATATTTGGATTGTTAGTGACTTAGTGTTATTTTTTATATTAAGGAGGGGCGCAAGTTGGATTGCATGTATTGTTATCACTTGTTTTTTTATATAACTGGGGCTGTATTATTTATTACTTCTGAAAAAACAACTTTTGACGGTAGAGTAGGGCTGCCAATTGCACCATTGATATATGGCTATTTTGTGAATTTGCTCATGACCTGTTATTTCATATGTGCTGTCCAATCCGGTCGCTTATAGAAGCAGGATTTAGTGGTCTAATTCATTCTCTACAGTAGTAGATTTGGCATCAAATAATGACGATGATTGTAATATGATGATACAAATGATAAATGATATGAAGAACAAATTGATGTTGCATCAAAGTGTTGGGGGGATTGATAAAAGACTAAACATGTTATCTAATAGTACGACAAATGGTGAAGGTGTTCATGGTACTTCCAAAGAGGGGAGCATTAGTAATCTTACTCTACGGGCTGTTCGCAGCAAAGGTCATCCTCCATTCAAAAGAAAGCAATCAAAGGTTGAACAAATTGCTTATAATGTAAAAGAGAAGAAATTGCGAAAGTTGGAAATTGGTATGAGTTCGAATCGTAATCTCACACTTGGATTTAATGAAGCAACTCAGGTAAGTAATTTATTTTCAATCTTTGTTTAAGTTGATTTTTACACGTGAATTGCATAAAGGTATGGAGCTCACACTTGAAAATTTTTCTTGTAGGGGGATTGTTGAAGGTTGATACTTGGCTGGAAATGCAGCAGTTCAACTGATGTTCAAACATGTTTTTGGCGGTAAAACTGAAAGGCAATCTGCCAGGGGTCCATTTGTAATACTGCAAAGTTTTACTCTTTTTGTAATGCTTGATATGTATCCCAGATTATGTGGGATGTGTTACAGAGTTGTTGTTTAGTTGGTATTAAGTCAGTAGCTTCAGATTAAATTAAGTTTTTATATGTCTGCATGTTTGGTGTAATAGTGTAAAAAATCTGCTTTATTAGTTGAAGTGTAAACTCTTTTGAACTTAAGAAAATTCAGGCACTTTTCTTCAATCGTTTTTGCTCTCTTTCTTTTCTTAGTGATCTCCAGCACATAATCTCCAACAGGGATCAAAAGAACATGGATTTCAGGAAGTTGCATGCTCATGTTCATCAGTTGAAGGGCAATAGCTCCATTGATGTATGTTATACTATGAAATTATGTGCAACTCCTTTGACCATTAGCTTGTGTAATTTTGTGCAGTTTGTGCAGGTTTGTTGGAGGTGCTGCGGCAGACTGTGTGCAGGTTTCCTTATTCATGATGCAGTCATTTAAGGTAATCATGTTGCCTATACTAATTGGCTGTTTCCTTTTGTAGGTTTCACTGAATTGTAGATTATATAGTAATTTGCTAAATAATTTCTGTGAAAGTATATCTTATTTTCCTGCTGTCTGTGTAGGGAGTTAATGTTTTTCTTTGTGCAGCTAATGGTCAAGTGCTGCCCCCTACATCCTACAACAAGTTTTCTTGCCTTATATCCAAAGGACAATTAACATTATTGCTATTGGCATGGATGACTCTTCAATTCTTATCTATGATATCAAGTTTGCTAAGGTTTTTTTCCTTAACTTAGGCCTAATTTTGAGAGCAAATGTTCAAGTCTATATTAGATTTTCTGATTTAACCATTTGAAAATATAATGTTAATGTATGCACAGGTTAAAAACAAGCTAATCAATCACCAACAGAAGGTTAAAATCTCGCTATTAGACCACAAGTCATGTTAGATTTATGAGCTGGAATCTTTTGTTCTTTATCATTGTCAAATAATTTATTAATATTTTTTCTCTTTGTGAATACTGGAATATGTCTAATATGATGACTGTTTGATGAAAGCAATTTTATTAAAATTTATATGTGGGTTATATATATTGACTCAATTATGCAAAATTAATCACATTGACAGTTACTTGTGTTTGGCATATCTTTATTCAACCTAGATGTTAAACTCAGGAAATATGAATTATGCTGTTTGCAGCTATGTGTGAGGAGCTTGGATGGAGGGGAGAAGCAGGCTACTAAACCTGAAAAAATATGTAATCTAATGCATATCTGCCTGATGATTTAGGTGAAGGAAAGATCTTGGCATGTCCTGCTGATATCTGGTCATTTGGGTGTGTTGTTATTGACATGTTGAGTGGTAAACCAGGGTGGGATTATGTGACTAAGGAGGAACTTTTTGAGCATATCGGTTACACTTCGGAATTGCCTTCGCTTTTGAGGAATGTGTCAGAGAATGTCAGGGATTTATTGAGCAAGTGTTTGATCAAAGATTTTGAAGACAGATGGACTGCCGAAGAGTTGCTGCAACATCCTGTTCTTTCTGTTGACGCTTGAGTTTTGGAGTATGTACAGAACAAGGTTCTCAAACCTGACCTGGCCAATGATTCGTTCCGGTGACCGGGTCTCGGCTGGGCTGTTAAACCGGTCTAATTGGTTGGTTGGACTGGTAACATCATCATATTGCACCATGATGGCATCAACATATAAAAAACTTCCAAACCCACACACCCCGCCTCCCCCCTCCCCCCAAAAAAAAAAGAAAATTTACAAATTGTTTACCACGTGATAGACTTGAGAAACCAGTTGACTATACAAAACAGTATAGTAAACTAGTACCACAGGCATTCTTAATTAGAATAGAAAAAGTAAAAACAGAGAAAAAATTGAAGACGTGATGTGTCCCTTTAATTAATTTCCAAATTTTTTAAGATGATGTTTCTTTTAATTAGTTTCAAAAAATTAAAGAAAACAACCATGATTCTTTTTCCAAGAATCAAAGAAACGGAATACAATGTTCGTGTTAATCAATTTCGAACAAAAGTCAAGAAATAAGAAATTAAATTGAAAAATCAAACAAAATGAAAACAATGTTTTCTTTTAGTTAATTTTGCATAAATCAAAGACAATAAAAACACCGAAAAAGAAACTTTTAAAAAATAAGAAAAATCAAGAAACGGAAAATATTGTTTCTTTCAAATTAATTTCGAAAATTCAAAGAAAATATTTTAAAAGAAGAAAATTCAAAAAAAACAATGAATTATCTAGTAAATTTAAAAAAAAAAAAAATTCAGAGAACTAAAAATTAAAAAAAAGAAGACAAGGTTAAAAAGACAAAAAATAAAAGTAATAGAAGAAGTAAAATCAGTACCAGAGGGGCATTGTTTGCATATGTAAGTAATCGATGCGAAAAATTAACAAAGTGAGCGACAATGCGAAGAAGCGATATGAATTAGATGTTAAGAGCAACG